AGTTGTTAGTCCAACAATGATATAACAACCTAGGCCAACAATGATATATGAATCTAAATGATGACAAAATGATAATGATTGGAAGATTGAAATAGCATTAATGCGGACTTGTGTTATAGCTTTGTTGGATATGATACCAAAGGCGGAAATCATAAATTAGTTGGAGTTATGTAGATCGCCGAAAATTTTAGGGAAATAATTTTTGAGGTGGTATTACATGTCCAATGGAGGCCTCCAAATAACGACGACAATTTTAGGGGTGGAGTCGCTAAGTGTTGATGGTAAGAGAAGAAATTAAGATTGTGTTTCTTTTTTACTTAAGACACTTAATGGTTCAGTTATATATAGTTGTTTTTTTTAGTTAATGTTATGTAAATATCTTAATGATTAATGAATCAAGGTAGGAAAATGATGTACTTAATATTTAATATTAAGTGGTAATTAAATATTTATTTTTCCAATTATGTATTTTTTTTTCTCCACATCAAACCATGTTCTGTTCATTTCTACTTACCTCAATTATTCTTTATCTCAAATTCTAAATTTATAACATACAACGCCTCATCCATATCCGCTGTTGCATAGCCATGACCATGGGCGTGTTCGGCACGGAGCTTTTGGGAGCGTTAGAGAGCTTCTAGCTTCTAGCGTTTGACAAAACGCTCCGTTTTGAACAGAAAGCCTTGTTTGACACTACAAGCTTCTAGCGTTTAGTTTAAACAAAACGCTTCAAATCCAAATGCTACTTCATGTAGTGTTTAACAAAACGCTACAAGCTACAAACTACCTGCCACCCGCTATCAACTAATTTTGCCGAACACGCCCCATATATCCTTTGTTGCATATTGTCTTCTCCAAATATTAAACATCTCCGTGCTCTACGTTGTTGCTTCTTCTTTTCAAAGTAACTGCCTTTTATTTTCTTTTTTCTTCTTCACGTTGGAAAGTCTTATATTGGCCCTAAAATATCACCATACACAAATTACTTTTATAAACTACAAGATAAAAAAAACATCATAGACAAATTTCTTCTTGTCTAATTTAACTTCTCAAATTCTCTTATTGAAAGTTAATATGTCATTCTTTATATTGGAAAGCGATATTGATTAGTGTATCGTGTTCTTTTTATGGAATTAAGCTTTTGTATATTTGAACTTATTAAAAAACTAGGTTAAAACCCGTGTACCACACGGATGATAAATTAAAATAACGTAGATTCTAGAAATAGAATTTAAAAAAATAGAAACATAATTTCATTTGTTTAATGTAGCATGATTTTATAAAAACTAAAAAAAATCAGATTAACGAAATTAAAAACTAACATGGCAATGTATTTTGCAAGTACATTGTTATTTATGACCATATAAAAAACCTATACATACCTCTCTATTACCCCGGTTTTACTACAAGTACTAACACATCATTTTAAACGTACAAAGAGTCTTTTTTTTAATAAAAAGGACAAACTCAGAGTTGTTGAACTTGCAAAAAGAACGAAATGTTTATTTGCTTTAAAATTACCTAATGCGCTAATAGCAACAGTAATAAAACCGACACTAATAATTGGCATTCTACTTTGCGATAAGAGCATCAATGAAAGAGCAACAAACACCTTCTGTTGGAGTGTGTATCAAAAATTGACAACAAAATTAACATAAATAGTGGAAAGAAAATGAAAATTTCCAAAAACCAAAAAATACAAAGTAACTATATTTTTACCAATAAGAGCTATATGTAATTCATAGCAACATACTTACATTTTTTTTTAAATATAGGCAACATGCTTACATTTTCTTACCAATAAACTGAATCTCTAAATGATTGGCTGAAACTATTTATCTGCAGAAAAAACGAAACAACAGTTACACACAGTCTTACACATATGGTATCAATAATGAAAGCGAATCAAATCTGTGTGGGACACTGACTTTGGTTAGAACGGGTGCATACTATCGTTAAATTTTAATTTCATAATAGTAGCCTAAATAAATAACGTTTAAAGGTAACATATTAATAAAAAAAATAGTTTAATTTAGGTGCATATAGTCGTATACACAATATATCAAAATTGATTTGTGATTTGTTAAGCTATTATAAATCTGTGATTTATTAAGCTACTATATCAATAAAACAATATTTCCACAATTTTCCCTATATAAAACATCCCTGTGACAGTCTTAAGAATGGACCAAGTATAGAAACTTGGGATTATGCAAGTTAAATGACAATTTTAAGAACGACCTAGAGAGGGTAATTTGGACAAGGAAGTGATAGTATATTGATAATTTATGTATGAAATAAAAATACACTGTTATTGAGTCTTGTTTCATAAACTTCATCAATTTCCAAGGAAGTTTGTGCATTGGTATCTTCCTCCACATGAGTATAAAAAACATTACAACTTGTGATATAATAGAATTCTTTCCAAATGTCGTATGCTTATCTAATCTCGAACACAACATGAACACGTGGTGCACATCAAACATGAAAACATTATCATAATTTATTAGTTGTATTACAATTACATAAATAAAACATATAAAATAACAAACTAAAAACAATAAACTAATAATCAGTTTAGTTTTTTTTTTTATTTTTTTTTTTATTTTTTTTTTAATAGCATGTTAGAAATAAAACTAACATCAACATAAGTAAACATAAATTTATAATTGATTATTACCAAACTAAACATATTAAACATAGTCATTCAGAACTACTTACAAGTATTAGGTACTATTGTAGAAGATAAGTTTAATTACATTTGATGATATGTCGCTAGATAAAAAGAGCAATGAACTAACAATTTAGAAGATTATAAATTTTATTACTTTGCATATAATAAACTATACTAACATCATTTGAAGCCAAACCTACTGAAGAACAAAACTAAATTCGGGGCATACAACAATTGATAGATAGCATTACATTGAATGACAACAAAGAAAATAAAGAAGAAATGAGGAGAAGAAATGAGGCTACCTGTTAAAAGAACCCAGTGATTTCTTTTCAATCTTGGATTTTCTTTTATTTGTAAACTTATGCAGTTCCTATCAATGAAAGGATCACAAAAATATATACCATCAAACAACCGTATCAAACAAATGGAAACATTGGTGTTTGAAATAAAAACACGTAGTTCAGGGTACACCACTTGCAATTTTCTTGAACTCGTCTTTTGTTCTTCAAGACAAAATAGGTTTTACCAGGCAAGATATTAGATTTTTTTCTAGGCTTTAATCTTCTTTTAAACTAAACTCAAGAGTATGCATATTTCTTCAGCATAATAACCTGCAAGTTTTCTTAGTGATAAAATTGATCTTATTATCTCAAAGTATGCACATTTCTTCAATAGATTCAATGAAACTTTAAACCATGCTTTGGTGGTTGCAGAATAAAAAATACTAACAATGGTTGCATATGTCTAACAATATTCATGAGCTCAAAATATTATATTTGATAAATCGATTACACATGTCCAATTAAACTGCCAATCTTCACTCATCTCCAATTAATTTGTAGTGAAACAGAACTTCGTGTATCCCAAAATGGGTTACTTTTTGCACAAATCTAAAAACAAACAATAATTTTTCCCATAGCAATACAGATTCATAGCTATTCATGAAAACAACAATTATACTTATAGAAGAACGAACTCAATCAACTCGAAGAACACATACTTTTAGTTATACCGTACAAGCATATTATGTATAAATCATTAACGTAAAAAACAAAAGTAGAACAAATTGTACCTGTTTGATACAAGTAGGAGGGAAGTTGATTTCCATGGCGAGAATTCCAACATTTTGAGGAGCCATCTCTGTTTCTAACTCTTCTTGGATCTTTAATAAAGTGCTAATATGAGATTAACTGAATCACAGTTACGGTAATCAACAGATCGAAAAATGAATTAATAATCTCAACTTCTGTTATCAATTTTTGTAGACAATTGAGGGATGAGTACTTCAATAGATTATCCATTAGCACAAACACAACTCATACACACATAAAACCGATTTTATAGTTCACAAAAGAAAATTGTATAATATCTGAAAGAAAATAAGCAAACAAAGTAAAAAAAAAAAACCACCGATTATGGGAGGATGCGCAAACGATGAAGTGACCAAGAAGAGCAAATAAATATATGGAATCGGATTCTCAATCCTACAGATAGTGATATTCAGAGATCAGTTATGTTCCTCAAATGTTGGGATATGCTCAATCAAGTTAGATCGAACAAATTTTGAAAAATTTATTCAATTTAAATCTTTGTGCAGTAGAGAAGGATTTAATTGAGGGAAAAATTATGAGTAGGAATTATACCGGTTTGTGATTTGTAGTCATAGTCTTTTACTTAGAATGTATAACATTGATATGGCCGAGATTTTCGTTGATTTGAATTTAATTTGAAGCTGATTTCTCGTTCTTAATGTTACAAATTGTATTTTTCCAAGTTGTTAATGGCGTTGATAATGAAAAGGAAAAGGGTAGATTGGGTATTTGATTGGCAAAAGAAATTAGCGGGAAAAATAAAAATAGATGTCGTAGAAAAAGGACACGTGTCCATAAAAGTACTCTTTTATTAGAGTAGGGATTATAGCCAATTTAAGTTGCTAACATATTAAAAAAAATTTGATATGCTCATTTATAATTTCAAATTATAATTTTCTTATATACATTTGTTATTTAACATCATTCAAAATGAATCGTAAAATAGTAATTTGTTTATATTCAGACAATTCATTTGTGATAAATAACCATTTGAACAGTTTCATATGTTCTTTTGTGTATGAATCGTGTGACGCTTTATGTTGATTTTTATCTTTCGTTTGCTAAATGGTTAAACACACTTGACGAACAAGGAAATAATTTCCATTTATAGCAAGTAATATAACCTACCAGACCACATTTCTCTTATTTATATCACTATGGTCCTACTACCAACATAACATACAACCATCTTAAGCCGCAAGTACAACCACCATAAGCAGAACCACATGCTTTCACGGTTTCATCTCATCGTCGTGGGAGCCACCGTCGTTGTTGAAGTCTTGCCTTGGAATGTAATGGTGGTTTAGCAGGTTTGCATCATCGGTGGAGCCACCACCGTTGCCGTACTCCGACCGGGGAATGTAGTGGTGGTTGTTAACAGTGCTGTCTGTACTTTCTTTGAGCTTTCGCTGGTGGATCTCGTGAGCCGTTTCATCATTCAAAGTTTTCCGGTGGTGTTCTTGGGCCAAGCAGGAAGTGGCCGCCACCATCAATATCAGCAGGAGAGTAAGTACCAGGAACCTCATTTATGATGGAAGAGATAGAAGAAATGATGGGTGGTGAAGTGGATATTGAATCTGTTTATATAGAAAGATGGAATATATACTATTCAAATTTCATATTGTCTAGTAGATATAGTCGTTTCTTACCATTTACTTTGTTTAGAGATTTATACTATTCATATTATACATGTCTACAAAGTACAAAATTTAGTACAAAATCTTAAAAGCATACATATGAATGAATTTAGTAGCTAGATTCAGTAAGTCATTTTTAGGTAAATAAGTATGAAATTATTATGCAATATTTCATTTCATTAATTAACTTCATTTTAAAGTTTTAATGGGTTTATGCATCAATACTTGTTGAATATAGTTTTTCATTTTAATTGCTACAAGGTTCATTGCATATATATATATATATATATATATATATATATATATATATATATATATATATATATATATATATATATATATATAGGTTATTCTATTCAAAATAATTATTGTGTTATTGTATGTATAAATGTGAGCAAATCATTTTACTTATTTTAAGAAAGTGATTAATACATATTATTTAATTAAATATAATTGAAAAATATCATCTAATTTAACTAGAAAGGTATTTTAGTCAGTTAACATAGATTTAATAAAGGAAATTTGCATATTTTAAGGGATCAAAGATTCTATTAATTTTAAAAATCCGATTTTACAAATTATAAGTTTTTAGTTCGGACATAATATGTTTGAGTATGTTCAAAAATAACAAATTTTTTTGTAGAATAACAAGATTCTCGAACCATCAATTGAAGAATTAAAAAACAAAAATTACATTAATTCTTATAGAATACATGTAACAATTGCTAAGAATTACATTTATTTTTAAAGAATAAAACTAAAAAAACTTTCAAATCTGGAAAAAAAACATCAAAATCTAATAAAAACACTAATACATTCTAAAAGAATAATGTTGCTAAGAGGCGTCGTTCAAATTTCGTGGTCCGTTCTTCAAGCATCAGCTTCTGTAGAAACAAATACAATGAATAAATTAGTGAGAAAATATTCATACTCCATTCCAACATAATTGGAATTCGTGATTCTATTCAGATAGAATTGGAATTCATTTACCAATAATTATATTAATTCGGGGAATTCTAACAGAATATGTTCATGATTATCATAAAAAACATTCTTTTCTGATAGAATGCTATAAACGAAGAAATACCATTCAGTTGAAACATTTTAGCGAGCACTTGGTGTGCATGAAACAACTTTCAATTCAGTTGAAGCATTCATCTGTCAAATAAGCAACCAAAACAACCATGATTTGTGTTCAACCAATCAAACCCAAAAACTAATCTAAACCTATCGATTAAACTTCATCGATTTATAGTAAATCAATCAAAATAAGAAAGAATATTAAAGAAACCTGTGATTATCCAGCCAACAACAACCCTTTGTTTCTTCTTCTGCTTGCCCATTGATTTCACAGCCTCAATCCAAACACCCATCTGATTTCGGTTCTTCTTCCCTGCCTCCACCGAACCATTGATGCATTTTGTCGAATGTTTTATGTGCGTGATTATACCTGAGAAAGCTGGATTGGAAAATTGGGTTTGTCATCAGTGGTTTATGTGAGTTTTGAATTATCATTCGAAATCAATTGCAGATCCAAATCAATTACGAGTCAATTTCAACTACGGAAAGCTTCATCAACGAGATCAATTATATGTAACATTGATAATTTGAAAAAAGAAAAGTACCAGGAGCCAATTTTCGATTTGTCTTTGACGCTCCCTTGCCGATAAAATGAAAAGATAAACCCTAACCTGTCCTTTGACTTTCGAATTGATATCAGTATTGGTCTCTGGTCGGATTCTTGTCTTCCTCGTTCGTCATTCCCTTTTGTTTTGATTGAAGAGGGTAGCTGGGGTATCGTCAGCAACGATGGCTATGAGGAAGGAAGTGGGTAGTCATGGTGGTCGTATGCTATGAAGATGATGGTGTGGTTATCGACGATGAAGATGGTGGTGGTGCTCAGCAACCGGATAAACAGGAATATGGTGGTGGTCGTCTGGTAAATTTTGTGGTCGATGTTTCTATACGATGGAATCGGTGGAACGAGGGGTTTTGAAAGTGACGATGAAGGGCAAACCCCACAAAGGTTCGCTGGTGTCGATTTGTTCAATTTAGGGTTTTCAGAATCGGTTTTTAGATAAAGAGGGGAACGAGATTTAAACTGGAGAGATACCATGATTATAAGGATTATTTTTGGAAGTTATTAAACAAATGACTAACTTACCCTTATTTATTTATTTTATTATTTAATTTTGATTGGCCCACATTGATGCATACAATAACACAATACTTAGTTAAAATCACCTGAACCTAGCTCTTTCTCTCTCTCTCTCTCTCTCTCTCTCTATATATATATATATATATATATATATATATATATATATATATAAAATTATAATTAAAAACCGCATAATACCGGTTCACAAAATTACAAACTGCAAACCACACCACTAAACTTCGAAACCGCGTTATGTGGTACGGTACGAGGTTTGTGCAGTTTGAACGGTTTGATAAAGTTTTCACAGCTGATAAACAATATTAACCTCTTACATTCTACTAAATATTCATGTTTGGCACAATTATTCCCTTTTATTTAACAATGTTATACTTTACTCCCTTATGTTATTTAGCCTTTAAAGTTTTATTATTTTTTTTTTAACATTTTTTCTATTTTACTTTTTAATATTAATATTAAAATTTTAATGATCATGTTATACTTTTATAATTTTTAAATTTTAATAATTATAAAAGTGATAATTTTATATTTTTTAAAAAGACTAACGTATTTATCTTTTCCGGTTCTATTTGTTTATGGCATTTTAATAATTTTTATTTTTATTTTTTGTAATATATTGTTTTTGTTTCACGTATTGTATTGTATTATTTTTATTTAATGTTATTGTCGAATGCTTTTAAATTTTATAAATACTACATATGTTTAAATTTAACAATATATATTAAGGGGTTTATAAAATATTCTACAAAGATAAGTATAAATTAGTTAATTTCATAAAAATTTGTTAAAAGTGGTAAGTGATTGCAGATGGTTTAAGCTAATAGCATTTTGTTTGATAAAGTTAGTGAAAATATGATACGGTAAATTATACATAAGGTCGATAATTGTCAATATTATTTTAAAGTTGTTATTGATTTATTAGTGGGTGACTTTTGAAATAAACATGGTTATTATAATAATGCAGAAGTAATTGCAAATGTTAATACGATACACTTGAAAGATAATGAGATTGCATTGGTGGTTTGGTGTAAATAGTCTTAGGGGGTGTTTGGCTTGTCTTTTGAAAGCCAAAAGTTCTTTTTGGAAAAGATAAAATGCAAAAGATGTTTGATAAAAGCATTTTAAAATCAACTTTTGGATTTTTGATATAAAGAAAACTGACTTTTTGAAAAAGTCAGGAAATCCTGACTTTTTGTAACTTTTGCCAAAAGGACTTTTGGCCCCAAAAAGATAAGCCAAACACCCCCTTAATTTATTTTTAATATTTGAGAAAGCCTAAGGATGGATGGAGTTGATTCCTCCACTCCCTTCGATGTTGTCACTTCCAAGTCGGTCGAATGGTGTTCCCTCCAAAGTCCCTATTTTCCAATCCGCAAACCTTTCTCCTTTGTGATCACTCCAATTCGGCATTGGCGAATATACGTACTATTTAGGTAGGTCACTTGAGTTATCTATTTTTTTTTGTTATAAGTAATATATAAAATATATTTGTGACCTATCTAAAATTTTACTAGTGACCTACCTTAATTTGATTGACAAAGAAATTAACATAAATCAAGACTTTTAAATCCAATTTTTATTTCTTAATATCATAAATACTTAATTACCCATTAGGGCGTCTCCAATGGACCGCCAAATTAGTGTTATTGTGCAAAAATTTACTCCAATGAGCAGGTAAAAAGGCCGACATTTTTGTGTGAAACAATTTTGGCCGGTATATATATCGGATCACTATCCACCACACCAAACTTGCTTTATACTTTAAATATCATATAATTGGATTGTTAGTTAAACTTTATCATTATTATATTATAGTTTATTGTTATTTTCTTTTATAACTATTACAATTTATATTAAAATATATTTACAGTGCAATTTCTTAATGTGTGGTTATAGTGAAAGTTATATTTTAGTGTCAAAAACTCATCATTTTTATGTTTTTAGTGGTCGATGGTTGGAGTTGGTCTTATGAAATAACACAACACAACTTTTGAGTGATATTTGTGTCACATATTTAAAAAAAGTGATTAATTTTTAGGGTAATCGTTAGTGTCATATATAGAAAAATAGTTTCAGATACTATTATTGATGATAAAACTGTGAAATATTCCAAGATATTAGAACTTGACGATTACAATTGTAAAAATTTTAATTTTAATTTTAATCTTTTTTGTTTATACGACCTAACCTGCTATTAGTATTTATTATTATTATTATATTTTTATATATCGGTTTCATTTAAATTATGAACCACGTAGGTTTCCTTTCTAGACTCGCAACTGCAATTCGGTACAAAGAAACTACATTTTTTTTTCGATACCAGGAAGGTGGAGTGGGGTTTCTAGTGTTTCTATCGGTACCGCCTTGACACCTCTGTCAATGTGTCTTAGGTAATGTTTGTTTTTTGTCTGCAGATCTGCGTGACCTCTTCTGTCTGCGCCGCGCAGACCACGCGCAGACATTAGCCTTCGCAGACTGTTTGTTTTTCTGAAGACTGCAGACCTAAAAATGTCTGTGCGGCCTCTTCTTGGCGCAGATGTGGACCAGAGTCTTCTAACATCTTCTAGCCTAAAAAAGCATATATATCTTTACTTTTTTTAAGTTTTTTTTTAATTTATATTTTTTCCAACTTTATTAATGATAAACAATTTGAAAAAAAAATTACAAAACTTAAAAAAAAAACGTTCGACGATACAAACATGATATTTTTGAC